TTGAAAAAAAGGGAGAGACTTCCTGTGGGATCAGAGCAAGATATGCCTTTACCTGGCAAAGAGGGAAAGAAAGGAAGTCTCAGCTATTGTCTGGTCAGCCATGTTGCCCGGTGACAGTGACATTAGACTACGGAAAAGAAGTACAACCATCAGACCGCAGAATATTTTAACATGTAAGGAGGCCACTTGGCCCATCAAATCTGTACCAACATTTTTGGAGAGAGATTTGTTTAGTCCTACTTGCCCATCTCTCCCCGTAGACGTGCAATTTTATCTCCTTTTACAATGTTATAAAATATATATTTTTATTCATTTATGGGATACTGAAGTAATCCATGTCCAAATGCAGCAAAACATCCAAGTTTGGGTTGACAAGTGGTAAGGAACATTCATGAGTGCCAGGCCAATGACCATATCGAATAAGAAAGAATAAAACCATCATTCATTGGCATTGAAATGGCATCACCATCACTGAATACCCCATTGTCAACATTCTTGATGTTACCATTGGCCAGAAACTGAACTGGTCTTGCCATCTAAATACAGTGGCCACAAGAACATGTCAGAGGCTGGGAATCCTGTACTGAGTAACTCATCTTCTGGCTCCCAAAAGCCTGTCTGCCATCTGCAAGGCACTGGCCTAGAGCATACTTGGCTGGGTGAGTGCAACTCCAACAAAACTTAAGAAGCTCAATACATTCCAAGACAAAGCAGCCCCCTTGATTGGAACCACATCCACAAATTTTCAGTCCCCTCACCACTGATCCACAGTAACAGTAGTGTGTAACATGTACAAGAAGCACTGCAGAAATTCACCAAGCTTCCTTCAACAGCAATTTCCAAATCCATGACAATGTCCATCTAGAATGACAAAGGCAGCAAATACATGGAAATGCCACCATCTGCACACTTCCATCCAAGTAACTCAACAATCCAATGATGTGCAGTTTAGATGGATTGGCCATGCTAAACTGCCCATGGTGTCCAGGGATATGTAGGTTAGGTGAATTAGCCATAGATACTGTAGGGCTAGGGTAGGTAGTAGGTCTGGGTGGGATGCTCTTCAGAGGGTCATTGTGGACTTGATGGGCCAAATAGCCTGCTTCTACACTGTAGGGATTCTATGTTCTAATTTATGTCCTATACTAACTTGGAAATATATTGCTATTCTTTTAAGGGTCACTGGGTCAAAATCCTGGAACCTTCTCCCTAACAGCATCATGGGCTACAAACTGCAAATGGACTGCAGCAGTTCAAGGAGGCAGCTCACCATCACCTTTTCAAGGGCAACGCAGGATTAGGTTAGGGTGAATTAGCCATGCTAAATTGCCCATAGTGTCCAGGGATGTGCAGGCTATGTGGATTAGTCATGGGAAATGCAGGGTTACAGGAATAGGCTAGGGGGTGGGTCTGGGTGGGCTGTTCTTTGTAGAGTTGTTGTGGGCTTGATAGGCAAATGGCCTGCTTCCACGCTGCAATTATTCTATGATTCTATGAACTAGGCATGGCATTACATGATGTCCCATCTAGTGACATCCACATTCCTTGAATGAACAAAACAAAATTCGTGAAGCTCAGTTGGTGAACAGTCATTCATTTCACTTATAAACTATGCTAATTTGTTGCTGGAAGCCATGCTTAACTAGACAATATCAAGGAAGATCTCAAACAAATCATTTGACCAATTGTCATAACTCAGGGTCTGGTGTATCAAACATGTAACCACTCTTTTCCAGGCATATGCCTCAGCTGAGTATTGGACAGGTCACAGCAGACCCAAGCTTGCCTTCAGCTCTAGTTTCACTGCACTTTTCCCAAGCCAGCAGACCAAAGCAGCTGTAGGTATCTCCAACCACATCTCCCTTCTCCTGCACCACACACTGGCCCAAACTGCCAACTAGTGACATTTAATTTTTAGAATCCCTACAGTGTGGAAACAGGCCCTTCGGCCCGACAAGTCCACACCGACCTTCAGAGCATCCCACCCAGACCCATCCCCCTACAACCTAACGAATCTACAGATCCCTGAACACTACAGGCAATTTAGCATGGCCAATCCACCTAGCCTGCACATCTTTAGTCTGTGGGAGGAAACTGGAGCACCCGGAGGAAACCCACACAGACACAGGGAGAATGTGCAAACTCCACACAGACAGTCGCCCGAGGGTGGAATCGAACCCGGGTCCCTGGCACTGTGATGTCTGAGTGTAGATCCCATTTGTGTAGCTGGGCGTTTTCTTTTGGCAGGAATTATGAAATACTGTGACTCAATATGAACAGATTGGCTCTAATTCTCTGACAGTTTGTAGGTCTCACATCTGCAACATCAGTCCTGCCTCACTGACCTCATTCTTATTGTTGTTGATTTAAAGGCAAATAGTTGACATTTAGCCACCACCAAATACATCCCTGACAGAGGGAGTGCAGGCGGATCTACAAGGCAAACACAGTCATAAATGAGGGAAGAACTCACATCTGCCCTTTTAAACAGTGTTGTTTACAAAAGTTGTGCACAGCTGTTTTACTTACAGCTTGCTATAATTTAACGTCTCCCCACCCAGAATTAGTCACATTCCACTATTTATATAGAGCAATCTTCGTTGACATAATGCTAGGTTGTGCGTGGACAGACTTTATATTTGCATATGGGATGTGGATATTACTGGCTAGGCCAGCGTTTATTGTCGAACCCTAATTGCTTGGAGGGCAGTCAAGAGTCAATCACAGTACTGTGGATCTTGAGTCCCATGTGGAAAAGTCGAGGCTTTTTAATTTCCCACATCTTTGTTACCGTGGGAGTAAACCAGAGCACACGGAGAAAACCCATGCAAGACACGGGGAGAATGTGCAAACTTCACATACACAGTTGCCCGAGGGTGAAATCGAATCCAGGTCCCTGGTGCTACACTGAACCACCATGCCACCCTGCCATTGATTACAGGCTTTAATGCCAATGATTACAGATCACCATTAGGCTGGCTTTTTACTCCAGATGTGCAGGTAAAGTGGACTGGCTATGCTCAATTGCCCATAGTGTCCAAGGATGTGTATGCTAGGTGGGTTAGCTATGGGAAATGCAGGGATAGGGCAGGAGGGTGGATGTTGGTGGGTTGTTCTTCGGTGAGCTGGTGTGGACTGGATGGGCCAAATTGCCTGTTTCCACACTGTAGGGATTCAATGATTCTATGAAAAATGCAATCTCATTACTAATCCCTGTAGAAATCAAAATCAGCCATCCTGATCTGGTTTTTACTACATGGGACTCAAGATCCACAGTAGTGTGACCGCCCTCCCTTTGTCAGGGATGTGTTCGGTGGTAGCTAAATGTCAAGTATTTGCCTTGAGGCAGGACTGATGTTGCAGATGTGAGACTGCCCACAAACAGCCAGAGAGTTAAAACTTCACCATTTGAACCCACATGCCCTGAACACAAACCTAGGACCCTGGATTACTAATCCAGTGACATTACCACTCTGACACAGCCTTCTCATCTTAAGCAACAGGGACATGATTCTAACCCTTATCTGGATGCTTGTCATTTGTGTGCCTGCTTTAGAGAGCTTGGAGGTAATGACACTGCTGGATGTTCGCAAGAGAGAGGGCAAGCCATCACTGTCACAGATCACTGGTCCAATAAAGTGATCCCTGTAAAATCAGCTGACTTCAACCAGGCTGGTAATAAGGGTGGCTGTTTAAATCGTGGTTCTGTGGATAACACTTGTCCCCAAGTAAAAAGGCTGTGGGCCCAAGCCCTACAACCAGGGACACTGGAACAATATCCAAGGCTAACTAATTCTGATTCAAACCAAAGGAAAAATGGAATTTTCCTTCATTTAGCGGAGTGAAAGATTTATTCCTCAATTTCAAATTCTCCCAGTTCGGGCACAGAACGTGTGAGAGGTGAGGAATTGAGTGCATTCAATTTTCTCAATTCTAGTCAACAATTTCAGTCTAATTTTACCATTAGCCAATCTCTGGCCACTCACAGCAAAGATTTCCAATTTAAATGCTGAATTAGTAATTACTGGGGTCTCAGATGAGAAAGAGGTAAGAATGGGGCAAAGAAACAAGCAAACAGCATTACTATTGCCTAGTTGCTTTGTGGAGAATAGGCTTGTCAAATAATATTATCTAAAATGTCTTTTTCTATGGTTCTAAGATAGACAATTGCAGGTCTCAATTGAAACCACTCAAGATCTTTTCGTTTAATTCATTCATTGGATTTAGGTTTCGCTGGCTGGGCCAACATTAATTTTCCATCTCTAATTGTTTTTGAAAATTTGGTGGGGAGCTGCTTTCTTGAATCATTGCAGTCCATTTGGTGTAGGTATACACACATTGCTATTAAGGAGGGAGTTCCGAGGGTTTTCCAAGTCAGGAGGTGAGTATCTTGAAGGGGAACTTGCAGGTGGTGGTGTTCCTATGTATCTGCTGCTCTTGTCCTTCTATGTGGTAGGGGTTGTGGATGCTGAGGAGCATTGGTGAATTTCTGCAGAGTATCTTGTAGATGGTACACACTGCTAGGACTGAGTTTCAGTGGGAAGGAGTGAATGCTGAAGGTGGTGAATGGGATGCCAAGCAGGTGGACTGCTTTGTCATGGATGGTGTTGAGCTTCATTAGTGTTGTTGGGGTTATACCCATCCAGGCAAACTAATCCTGATTTGTGCCTTATAGATAATGATCTGGCTTAGGGAGGGCAGAGACAGATTTGCTTGCCATAAGTTTCCTAGCCTCTAACCTGTTCTTGTAGCTACAGTATTTATGTACTTATATTTATAGTTGGTTTAATCAACCCAGGATGTTGATAACAAGAGATTGTGACATGTATAAAGTACTTGTGCATCAATATTTGAAAAGTCTAACCTTAAGGCCTTATAGGTAATTGGGGGCACTTTGCAGACAGTTGTCAGCATGACTTAAGAATGAAGGTTGGGTGAGCTTTGGCTTTCTTTGAAGCAAACCGGTAAATGCCGCTGTTAGATTAGTGCAGATTACTCACACGTGGCCTCATTAGTCCTTCTGCTGTATGACTTCTTCACTCGGTACCGCACCACCAGCTCCCCTCTCTCGATCATGGGTTCAAAGGCTTCACTGTAGAATACACACGAGTGTGAGGACTGTACCCATCATCTTACAACACCAAAGCATCCTGAACCAGAGTTGCCAACTTTATCCTAGAATCTCTTGGAATTAAAGCTTAATCTCCTAAACAGCACAATATCATAAGTCAGAGGCCTTAAAAAAAGTTTACATTGTACGTCGTTGGAGTTGAGGAAAATAGTCGTTTACCATTCAGTAAAGAATCATCCAATCAAGTGATGATCTGCTTGTTTTTAAGAGATGCAGACTAGAAACCAGACTAGTGTGAATTATTTATTAACTATTCACAGGCCTCCAGTGAACCTTCATCCTTCAGGTTCCATATGGTGTGACATTATCTGACATCATTGACAATGTACTTTATTATATGGATAACAGTTATTAATCCTTCCCACCTCCCTTTCCCAAGTTTATCATTCTACCAATAAACTATTCACATTTTTAATCAATTTTACTTCCCCACTTTCCCCCCCATAGTCTCATTTGGCTGTCTGAATCAAAGGCATTGTGGTGGCTTGACTGATCTGCCAAACCATGCCTGCCAACTCTGATATAAGAATTATGCCAAATTAGCATTCATCCTGTTGCTGGGTAAGATGATGCATCACCAGCACCATGCCACAGCTGTAGAAATGCCTAAAGAATCTTGGCAGAGTTAGCAAGCCCACTTTATGGATCTCAAAGTCAATGAGTAGTTACACTGTAATTGACAGAAGATAATGGTTCTTGAAATTAATTTTCTAAACATTTAATAACCAATGTTGGGTTTCAGCAAGCGATGATGGATATTCGTGCTGAAAGGTGCAGTATTAAACTTGTCTCATTCACTAATAACTTGTAATTCAGTGAGACTGAACTAGTGACTTATGTAGAGTTTGTAGTTCACCTGAATATATATTATCTTTCAATTTTACAGATAGGATACGGAGTACATTTTTCATTTTCCTTAGAGGTGAAGCCATCAGGTCGTATTGAGATACTAGCGGGACTGTAGAATTAGGCATAAACCAAAGCTTGAATTAATTATTCATCAAGTCTTTTAGATGCTGCCATCTGGTGAACTTCAGACAGCATAGACCATGTAAGTTCTTGCCACAGGAAATCAGTCTAGAGGACTTTTCTCACCTCTTTTGAAAGCCCCTGAGTATGTCAAATGTAAACACCTTCTTTTATCTCACAGCATGTTTCACTCAATGCAGGGTGGACACTTTCAAAATGAGCTTGAAGAAATGAGCAATATCCAAGAAAATTCAGGGCCTCAAAAATATCTTGCAACCCATTTGGTGGGTAAATAATGTTTCCATTCACTATTTTGATTAATTCTGTAATATAAAAGTTTTGCACTTCTTAAGCTAATTTTGTCTTTTTTAATTTCAGTTCATTTGCTTTCTATTCCATGCATTTTATGTTTCTATGCATCAAAATAAAATGTGAAACCAACAGTGCAGTCTAATCGTGTTGTATCTCCTAAATCTCATCTTGGGACAGACATGTCAGTCATTTTTATAAAATGGTTTTCATGTGAAAGGAGCAGGAGAGCTAATTTTCTTGCTCTTCTATTTCACAGATTTTGCATTCTCAATGGCAGGTCATCTTCATATTTCAAGGGTTTGTCCTTTGACTGTGGATCCACACCCCTCTCCTCATCCATTGGCAATGAATGAAAAACAAATTTGTGAACTGAAACAGTAAATTCTCACCCGTATCGAACATCCTTCTTCCTCAGTCGGGCAACCAGCACAGCGAGGCAAATAGCAGAGGCCATGGCTACAGCGACGGCCATCACCACATACCACCAGTGCCAAGAGAATGTCCTCCTGCCTGCCTTCCCTGAAAACAAGAGTTAAGGAGCTCTTAAGATAATTATCCAGAACTTTGTCACCACAAACTTCTAATCACAATGCAAAACCTTCAGGAAAGACGTAGCTTCCCCAAAACAGGTCAATTTGTAAAGTCTGATTGCAACTTCATAGCTCAAGGCAGACAGCATTCATTGTTTCCAATAGGAATGAGGGAATGGAGCTGTAACAATTCCTGAGCAAATGTGCTAATGCTGTTGCATTCAGCAATTCCTCTGCATTATCAGCCCCAAGTAATAGTTAACAGAAAGGAACAGTAAGAGCATATTCAATCCCATGTACCTGCTTTGCCATTCAGTTAGACCAACGTTGATCCACAACTCTATATCAGTCCTCCATCTTCTTTAAAATGCTCATGGCAAAACAAAATCTAAAAACCTTTTTTTGATATTGTATGAAGTTTTTTGCAGTTAAGGATTCCAGGTTTCTAATGCTCTATTTGTTGTCGAATAAGTTTTTCCACTTTCCACTCAGCTCCAACAAAGAAACATGACACCACACATAATCCTGACTTAGAATTATAACATTTTCCCTTCAGTGTCACTAGATCAAAATCCTGGCACTGTCTCCTTAACAGCGTTGTAAGTGCACTGACACCACATGGACAGTAGTAGTTCAAGAAAGTGGCTCACCATCAACTTCGCCAGGGCTATTAAAAGTGGGTATTAGATGCTGGCGCAGACACCAATGTTCACATACAGGAAAGAATAAATAAAGAAATTAGCTTGGTACAGAAAAGCCAAAGTCATTGGCCTAGCAATATGCAAATTTAAAGCAGGTTGATCAATCCTAAATTTGGATCTTACAAACCTGCGATGGCTCGCTGGTTGAGATTATGCACCAAACTAGTATAGCAATGAGTGTTGAGGAATTTTGGACATGTCACCTTCAATCTCAGCCCTGGCTTGTTTTAAAATCCAAGACCATGGCAAGTAGGGTTAAAGAAAATCCCAAAGCATTCCATACATACATTAAAAACAAGAGGATAACAAGGGACAAGGTAGGACCACTCAAGAATAAAGGAGAGAACTTGTGCTTTGAGGCAGAGAATGTGCGTGAGATCCTAAATGAGTACATTGTGTCACTATTCACCCAGAGAAAGCTATGCAGGATAGTGAGATTTGTGTGGAGTTACTAATATGCTAGGGCATGTTGAGATCAAGAAAAAAGTGGTGTTGGGTCTCTTCGAGAGTATTAAGGTGGATAAGTCCCCAGGGCCCAATGGTATCTACCCCAGGTTGTTGAGAGCCACAACAGTAGAGATTGCTGGGGCCTTGACCAAGATCTTTGTATCCTCTCTAGCCACTGCAGAGGTCTTGTAAGACCGGCAAGTAGCTAATGTTGTTCCTGTATTCAAGAAGGGAAATAGGGATAATGCGGTAAACTATAGACCGTTGAGTCTCACATCAGTGGTTAGGAAGCTTCTAGAGAGAATTCGTAAGGATAGGATTTAGACACATTTGGAAAATTGTGGCCTAATTAGGAATGGTCAGCATGGCTTTGTGCAGGGCAGGTCATGTCTAACGAATTTGATTGAATTTTTTGAGCAGGTGACAAAGGTCATTGATGAGGGTCAAGGGTCAGGTAGCAGATGGTGTCTACATGGATTTTAGTAAGGCTTTCGACAAGGTCCCTCATGGTAGGCTCATCTATAAGATTAAGATGCATGGGATCCATGATGACTTGGCCACGTGGATTCAGAATTGGCTTGCCAGCATGTTCTTTCTGAACATTTTTAATCCAGTGACTAGTGCTGTTTACAGGGATCCAGACTGGAACCTCTGCCGTTTGTGCTATGCATAAATGACTTGGATGAAAATGTTGATGCATGGGTTACTAAGTTTGCAGATGATACAAAGATTGGTGGAGTCGTAGATAGTTAGAAGGTTGTCAAAGGATACAGTGGGATATAGATCAGTTGCAGATATGGAAGAGAAATGGCAGATGAAGTTTAATCCGGGTAAATGAGAGGTCCTGCACTTTGGGAGATCAAATGTTAAGGAAAAGTATATAGTTAATGGCAGGGCTTGAACAGCATTGATGTACAGAGGGATCTTAGGGTTCAAATCCATAACTCCCTGAAAGTGTCCACGCAGATAGATAGTGTGGTAAAGAAAGCATGTGGCATGCTTGCCTTTATTGATTGGGGAATTGAGTACAAGAGTCATGATGTCATGTTGCAGCTTTATAAATTTTGGATAGGCCACATTTAGAGTATTGAGCTCAATTCTGGTTACCATATTACAGGAAGGATGTGGCAGCTTTGCAGAAGAGGTTTACCAGGATATAGCTCATATACTCTAAACCAGGCTGTAAGGAGAGGCTAGAAAAACTCAGGTTGTTTTGTCTGGAGTGGTGGAGTCTGAGGGGAGACTTGATAGAAGTATGAGATGCATAGATAGGGTTGACAGTCAGAATCTTCTTCCCAGAGTTGAAATGTCTAAAACTAAGGGGCATGCACTTAAGGAGAGAGGAAGAAAGTTCAAAGGAGATGTGAGGGGCAAGTCTTTTACACAGAGAGTGGTAGGAGTGTGGAACATGCTGCCAAGGGTGGTGGTGGAGGCAGATACGATAGGGGCATTTAAGAGACTTTTACATAAGCACATGAACATACAAGGAATGGAGGGATATGAACCAAAGGCAGGCAAAAGAGATTAGTTTAATTTGTTGTCATCTTGGGCGGAAGGGCCCGTTCCTGTGCTGTACAGTTCAATGTTCTAAAATCTAGTCCTATGACTTCTCAAAAAGCATTTCAAATCACCTTTTGCTGCTTCTTCCAATACCCCAAGGTTCTTAACAAGCAATAAATTTACTCCTGAAGTTACTCACCGATGTTCCATAGACAAGATTGGGTGCCAATCTTTACTCAGCAATATGATAAGTTTTATTGATTTACAAGCATGATGTTTTAAGTTTGCTATCTGTGCTCCTTGTTTGTGGACCTGTGTGTGTAGATTCTCTAAAGAGACAGAGAAATCGAGACAACGGCAAATCTCTTTCATCAGTGCTTTACACTCTAGCTTCAGTGTGATTTTGAATTCTGTGCACATGATATTGCGCTGTCCCACATGTTTTGGTCAACAGGGAATCAAAGTTCAAGTGGCAGAATTAATTTGAGTTGACTTCAAGGCTGACTAGCTTTTACCTTTCAAATAATTGCACATCAAAAGTACTTTAAAGACTTTTGTGACATTCTCCTTTCATATAATACATAACTTGAAAGTGCTTTCTCACCTACTGGATGTCTCATCTGCCTTGGAATACCTGTGTTGAGAATAACAAATAATAAATTAATTTGCCTCACAGCAATGGTGAAAAACAGTTCACTACAACATTAATTATTTATATTGAATCCTTGAGGTCAATAACAGAAACCCATCTAGCCAGAGTTCCTGGTTGAGATAAAATGTCCATTCACCCCAAGTGAGCTATACGATCCTCATTATTTCTGAGCTCATTTTGAAGACAGGAAATTGTGTCAATATCAAAACATATGAAGGGACTGGAAGCCATTCAACCCCTTAAGCGTGTGCTGCACTACCATTCATGGTTGAGCTGGATCTCAATTTCATTTGCCCAACTTAGTTCTGAACTCTAATATTATTGACACACAAGAATTTGGTTTTGAAAGTTTTAATTGCACCCTCCCCTAACAAAACTTGCTTCCAACAGGAACAGCTCCATTTTTGCAGGAGAGAAAAAAAGAGGACTAAATTTCCGTTATTTTTTTTAGGTTGGATTTTACCTCCCCCAACACATATATCTAACCACAGAGGATTAGAAGACAGGGGCAAAATGTAAAATCAAGCATTTCCAGGCACCTACCCTCCCATCAACGACCTGTTTGAAATTTAACAATGTTGGAGAAGTTATCAAACGACCTGCCTGCTCTTCATTAATTGAGACCCTAAAGTTACTCAATTAAAAGAAGAAAACAACAGATAGGATGCAATTCAATACAGATAAGTGTGAGGTATTGCACTTTGGAAAGTCAAACCAAAGTTGGACTTATACATCAAATGGTAAGGTCCTGAGGAGTGTTGTGGAACAGAGGGACCGAGGAATACAAGTACATTGTTCATTGAGAGTGGCATCACATGTAGACAGGGTGGTGAAGGAAACAGTTGGCATGCTGGCCTTCATCCGTTGAGACAGGATCACCATTGAAGGGCGACTCACAGAGGAAGACATACATTGACACCTTTACAGAAACGCTCACAAATTCCCAGGAACTTGCTGGGAAATGGGCACAAAGTCTGGCCATCTCACCTGGGCTAGGAAGGGTCACCAGGACAGGGTCACTCCATGGCCCATCCCCAGCTTTCGTGTAGGCTGCCAAACGAACACTCAGGTTCGTGACAGGCAAAACAACCTCCAGGATAATGTTCTCCCTCTGCCCATTGTCCACAATCACCTAAAATGAAAGAAAACATTGAAAATTGTAGGCATTTCTCTGAAGTGACAGATGAACTTTCCCTTAAACCTATGCCCCCTCGTTTTCCCTGGGAAAAGGACCATATTCATTCATCCTATCTATGCCTCTCATGATTTTATAAACCTCAATAAAGGTCACCCCTCATTCTCCTACCTTCCAAGGAAGAAAGTCCTATCCTGGCTAACCTCTCCCTATCACTCAGCCCTACCAGTCCTGCCAACATCCTTGTAAATCCTCTTCGCACACTTTCCAGTTTAACTATGTGTTTCCTACAACAGGGTGACCAAAACTGTACACAGTACTCCAAGTGTGGCCTCACCAATGACTTGTACAACTGTAACATAATGTTCCAACTCCTAAATTCAATGCCTCAACGGATGAAGGCCACCCTGTCTACCTATGATGCCACTCTCAACGAACTATGTACTTGTATTCCTTGGTCCCTCTGTTCCACAACACTCCTCAGGACCTTACCATTTGATGTATAAGTCCTATCTTGGTTTGACTTTCTGAAGTGCAATACCTCATACTTATCTGTATTGAATTGCATTTGCCAATCCTCAGTCCACTTCCCCATCTGATCAAGTTCCCTCTGTAATTTTTCACTATTTACCTTTTTCGCTATTTACGATACCTCCCAATTTTGTATCATCTGCAAACTTACTAATTATGCCTTGTACATTCGCATCCAGATCATTAATGTAAATAACAAAGGTCCCAGCACTGACGCCTGTGGTGCAGCGCTAATGACAGGCCTCCAGTCTGAGAAACAACCTTCAACCATCACCGTCTGCTTCCTGCCATTAAGCCAATTCTGAATCCAATTTGCTAGCTCTCCCTGGATCCCATGCGACCTAACCTTCATGAGTAGCCCACTGTGTGGGACCTTGTCAGAGGCCTTACTAAAGTCCATATAGACAACATCCACTGCCCTACCCTCATCTATCCTTTTGGTTACCTTTTTGAAAAACTCAAAGATTTGTCAGACATGACTTCCCACGCACAAATCCATGCTGACTATCCCCAAACCGACCTTGACTATCCAAATATTGATTGATCCTGTCCCTCAGTATCCTCTCCAATAACCTGCCTACCACTGATGTCAGGCTCATTGGCCTGTAGTGCCCTGGTTTGTCTTTGCTACTTTTCTTAAGCAATGGAACAACATTACCCACCCTCCAATCTCTTGCAACTTCACCAGTGGCTAAAGATGAAGCAAAAATCTCTGCAAGGGCCTCGGCAATTTCTTCCCTAGCTTCCCACAACATTCCAGGAATGGACTTGATCAGGCCCAGGGTATTTATCCACCTTAATACGCTTTAAGGCTGCAAACACCTCCTCTCTGGTAATATGTATGTGGTCCAAAACATCCCCACTTGTTTCCTTTATTTCCTTAGCATCCATAATTCTCTCCTCAGTAAATACTGAGGAGAAATATTCATTAAAAATCTCCCCAAACTCCTGTGGCGCCACACACGGACAGCCATGCTGATCTTTAAGGGGACCTATTCTCTCCCTAGCCACCCTTTTACTCTTAATATAGCTATATAACCTCTTGGGATTATTTTTAACCTTATTTACCAGATCCATCTCATACACTCTTTTTGCTCTTCTAACTTCCCTCCTAAGTGTCCTCCTACACTTTTTATAGTCATTTAGGAATTCACTTGAGCTTAAATCCAAATGTATGACCACAGCCTTAATATCCCTCATCAGCCAGGGATCCCTAAACCTGTCAACTTTTCCCCTTACCCTAACAGGGACATACTGTCCCTGGACTCTTGATATCACACTTTTTAAAAGCCTCCCACTTGCCATTTAATCCTTTTCCTTCAAACAGACTCACCAATCAACCTCTGCTAGATCCTGCCTAATGGTCCCAAAGTTGGTCCTGTTCAGTTTAGCACCTTAAACTGTGGACCGGTCCTGTCTTTTTCCATAACAATGTTAAAACTAAGAGTTATGGTTACCATACCCAAAGTGCTTTCTGACTGACACTTCAGTCACTTGCCCGACCTGATTTCCTAAGAGGAGGTCCAGTGTTGCATCCTCCCGAGTAGGGCCCTCTACATATTGATTTAGGAAACGTTCTTGGACACATTTGACAAATTTCTCCTCATCTGGGCCTTTTACACTCTTGGTGGCCCTGTCAATACAAAGGAAATTAAAATGTCCAACCAATACTACTCTATTATTCCTACAGGTATCTAAATCTCTCTACACATCTACTCCTCTAGTACCCACTGGTTATTTTGAGGTCCAATTCTCTGTTATCCCTACTTGTTGTATTTTGCAGATGATATCAGGTCTCCAACAAATTTCAGGCTGACAACACATGGTATCGCTGAGGAGGAGCTGCACAATCAGAGAGGCCAACTTTTAGATACATTTGTAACAGCCCCAGCTGCCCTTTCAGATGGATGTTAAAGATCCCATGACTTATACTGAATAAAAACTGGAGAGTTCTCTCTGGTGTCCTGGCAAGTCTTTATCTATCAAACAACATCACAAAAACAGATGATCTCATTGTTATCACAGTTTTTGGGAGACGGTGACTTAGTAGCAATGTCAATGGACTAGTAATCAAATAGCTGAGAAGCTGATACAAGACAAAATGGAAACAATTTGGCAACTGTTAATTGGATTTCAAATGCTTAAAGACTGCCTGGGATGGCAGGACAGGAATCATTGAGGTTTGTAGCATCGGAGAAGAGGAAAACGTGGAGTGAGACTTAAACTGCTTAGGCAAATTGCATGGCATTAGGAATGAAATGAAGCAGGCTATGTGGGATAGTCCTTCCAGTAAGAGTTGAAATGGGCCAAAGCTTTCCATGCATGTTAACAGAACTACAAAATCTGAAAGCTATTCACCTCAGCATGGTCTTGGTCCTGATATGCCACTTTGTATCCTTGCAAGACCCCATTAAGGCCTGTAGATGGTTTCTCCCATTCGAAGAGCAGAGCACTGCCATTGTATTGGAAGGTTATGTTGCTTGGGACTGTGTCTGGCTCTTAAAAAGGTAAACAAAAAGAACCATTGGATAGGTGTTATTCCTCACTGTTACAGATAGGAAAGATAATCACTGTGTACAACAAACAGCTTGTGCAAAACCAATCTGAGCATCAAAGCAAAGGATATGCAAGGAGTAACAAAGCAGGGGCATACCACTCCTCCCCTGAATCTGGGCTGTGTTGCTTTGTGGTCAGCAGGATCTCTAAGTAGCACATCTGCCTCAGTGCTAACAACTGAGCTGCCCTGCCACCCAAGTAGACAATAAGATGATTCTGCTATGTGAGCTCTCTAAATAATCACATTATTCCACTTGTTCTCCATAGCCATATAAAGTTCTCTTGTTCAGGAATCGTCCAAATCCAAGCTTTCGACTGCTGACACCAATGATCCTACAATGAGTTGTGACTGCATAATGCTCACCTTGATTTTTTTGCGCATGTGCAATGACTCAATTTTTAAAAATTAAAAATAAATTCTGCTTTAACCTTTTCTTCTATTCATCAATATATACTGCCTTTTTTTCATTATTAAATGTTTGTTATGCTTTAATCACTCTTTATTGAAATACATTAGATCTTTTTTGTTCCTCTTGGGTGTCATAACAATGTGTTACAAAGATTCTCATTTCCTGTTGGATGTTTTGCTAACTATCTTAACTCTGTGCGCTTTGGTTACTGCCTTATTGCCAACAGTATTCTCTTTTCTCACTCTATCAAAATGCATTGTAATTCTCAACTTCAGTCTCAAGTAAAGTAGGTAAAGCGGAAAGAGAACAATTTAAAATTCTTGCCTCGCCACAAACTAAAGGACATTAAACCGAGAGTCATTCTGCTAAGTTTCCTCCACATCCTCTTCAAGACTTTGGAATCATAAACTCGTATCGGCTTACAGACAAAGAGGTTATTTGACCCATCCTATATCAACTAGCTCTTTGTAAGAGTAGTTGTGTTTCATTCCACATTGATGCTGTTTATAATGCTTAAAGATTTTCATCTTCAAGATTCAGTTCATTTGCAAATTATTGATAGAGTCCACTTCCAATCAGTTTCTAGATCATTTCAAATCTCGTGTACTAACTGAGTTAAAACATGTCTCCTCAACTTCCCTTTAGACCTCTCGAAAATGATTTTTGAACCTTCAACTTACAGCACTATTACACACCTCTGGAGCAGGTCAGACTTGAACCTAGACTTCCTGGCTTACAGGAAGGGACAGACAGCCTTAGTTATGCTACAGAAAATAATTTTCTCTCATTGTCAACACTTGTCATTGTCCTAAAAATGAGGTCACCTCTTAACCTCCTCAGTTTCCAGGAGAACGCTCAGAATGTGCTCAGCCATGCCCAGTAACTGATGATCCCAACACCACATCCTGGCCAACCTGTTTTGTAGCTGTTCAGAGTCTTTAAAACTGCCCTAAAGTGCAGTACCCAGACTTTTCTACACAGAAGGCCAGACTGCCGAGATATAATATTTCAGAAAAATCTCTCCGTTCCTTTATTTTTAAACCTAAGTAGCCCACTTTTTAATCCCTTTATTAAATTTTCTTGTCTTGGGATACTTAACCTCTCTTTGTTTAAAACAAAATCACTTCAAATTCTTGATTTTGGAAACAAATTTAATATAATAAATAACCCTTTTGCTTGGTTGCTACAACTGAGTGTATGCATAACTTTTCAACATAGCTGTGATCTGTGTAAATGCATAGCACTCCTCCTCAGACCCATAACAAAATAAAGATCCCAGACTGGAATGACGATACGAAAAATAGCATTGCCTTATCAGGGATTGAATGAATTTCGGCACTTCAGAGCAAGAAATGCTGCCAAGTCAAACATTTATTACTTCATTATTTGGCAATTTCATTCCTTCCTACTAGGTCAGCTTGTAAATTGGAAGAAGTAAATAATGAAACATACCTCTATCTACAAATCCTATCTCTGTCAACAAACTGAACCTCCACCACTTTTCTTATAAGCTGTTGCTAAATGAGAAGACATTTTGGCTGCAGTTTCCAAAAACAGAAATGTTGAGTTTGGGATCTGACCCAGAAATGTACACGAGTTTAACCTGGCACTTCCAATAGCTGGGCTCTCACCCAAGAATAATTCAAATCCCAGACACAGATTTCCACCTAACTGAAACACTTCCTATGACTCTCATTACATTAAATTCCTAAAGGTTTAACATTAGCTTTGTTAACTTTACAAGACAAACACTTTTCACTTCAGTTGTATTCACCAAAGATCCTTAGAAATCACCTTCCAAACACACATTCACTTCTGTCTAGAACAAGGACAGTAGATGCATGGAAACACCACTACATGCCAAGTTCCCCTCCAAGCCCCTCACCACTCTGACTTGGATATATACCACTGTTCCTTCACTGTTACTGGGTCAAAATCCTGGAATTCCCTCACTAAGGACATTGTGGGTCAACCCACAGCATGTGGCCTGCAGTGGTTCAAGAGGGCAGCAGCTTTGATGCCAGCAGCAGCACCATCCCCTCCTCAAAAGGATGAATATTATAGCTGTTACCCAAAACTGAGGGCTTCGTTGGCTGATTTCTATGTCTGCCCTACGTAGGCCAATTGAAAAAGGTTAATTGGATTGAGGATCAGAAGATGGTCATTTAATTCATCAGCTTGTTTCCCATTCAAATCTCCAGTACTGGCTGGGCCAGAAACGAATGGTTACAAAGCTGGCGTTGGCAGCCGCGTGGTGCAGGAATTAGAAGCTCAAAATATAGGGGCAGAATCAGGCCATTTGGCCCATTGAAGTCTGCCCTGCCATTTGATCATGGCTGATAAACTCCTCACCCCCATTTTCCTTCCTTCTCCCCATAAGCCTTCATCTCATTACCGATTAAAAATCTAACTCCTCCTCAAATTTACTCTCTGTCCCAACATCTATCGCACTTTGGGGTGGCGAATTCCACAGGTTCACAATCTTTTGGGAGAAGTAGTTTCTCCTCAACACTGTTTTAAATTTGCTACCCCTTACCCTAAGTCTATGACCTCTTGTCCTAGAATGCCCCACAAGAGGAAGCATCTGCTCCACATCCATTTTATCTATACCTTTTATCATCTTGAATATCACAATTTGATCTCCCCTCATTCTTCTAAATTCCAGACAGTATAGGCCTAAACTGTTCAATCTCTCTTCGTATGCCAAATCCCTCATGTCTGGGATCAATCTAGTGAACATCCTCTGAACTGCCTCCAACGCCACGACATCTTTCCTCAAATAAGGGAAAATCAAAACTGTGCACAATACTCCAGGTGCAGTCTCACCAATGCCTTGTATAGTTGCAATAATACTTCCTTACTTTTATGTTCTATTCCTTTAGCTATAAAAGCCAACATTCCATTTGCTTTCTTTATTTTCTGCTGTACCCGCATGCTAGTTTACTGTGCCTCATGAATGAGGACACCCAGATCCCTCTGCACCGGAGCACGGTGAAGTCTCTCCCCATTTAGATAATAGGTTGCCCTCCCAGTTTTCCAAAAAAAAAATGCATGACCTCACACTTATCCACGAACTGGGGTTGTAAAGAATATTTACACCTGATAAGTGATAATGACCTCAAACTCAAGGATAGATGAAGTGGAGGCAATGAAAATTTAAAAGGGAAATTTGATGGGCATTTGAAAGAAATAAACTTGTAGGGTATAGGGATTTGGGTAGGGTGATGGAGTGGCAGTAGAGGGCAGGGGGTCGATAATGGGACTGACAGAGAACTAGCATAGCTGGACTTGATGGGCCAAATTGGTTCTTTGTGGATGTTAATAATGCTATGGCTGTGATTTTGGTCTTAGTGCACCATGTGTGACTTTCCCACCATTATCAGTGAGAAAGCTCCTCAGATCAAGCACTAATAAGCACTGGGTTCCTGCCTGACTCACAGGCAGGAACTGCCTGGATTGAAGAACGTCATTGGAGGCCCAAGCTGTGCAGCTGTGAAAAGCAGGGCATCAGTGACTAGGCTTGGTGAGCTGGTGGTTGCAGGTTGTTGAGGGCTTGAAAGCAAGGGAGTATGTGGCTGTTGATATCCCCTGCAACCATCCCTTCCCCAATTGCCTCCAGATTGGTATTACTGAAGGGTACCACTATCCCAGCAGTCAGGTTGCCCAAAAGCAGTTATTTTTCTTGCCTGGAGGGAAGGTAATTGAGCCATAGAGTTGTACAGTACAGAAACAGTGCCTTCAGTCCAACTTGTACATGCTGACCAGATAACCCAAATTAATCTGGTCCCACTTGCCAGCATTTAGCCCATATCAATCTAAACCGTTCCTATTCAGAACTAGCTATTTGGATACAGAACTAGTTCAAAGGTAGAAGGCAGAGGGATGTGGTGGAGGCTTGTTTTCAGACTGGAGGCCTGTGACCAGCTGTATACCACAAAGATTGGTGCTGGGTCCACTGCTTGTTGACATTTATATCAATGATTTGGATGTGGACATGGGAGGTATGGTTAGTAAGTTTGCAGATGATACCAGAATTGGAGGTGTACTGGACAGTGAAGAAAGTTACTTCAGAGTACAACAGGATCATGATCAGAAGGGCCAATGGGCTGAGGAGTGGCAGATGGAGTTTAATTTAAATAAGTGAGGTGCTGCATTTTGGAAAGGCAAGTCTGGGCATAATACTTAATGGTAAGGTCCTGAGCGGTGTTGTAGAACAAAGATGTTGGGAGTGCAGGTTCATAGTTCCTTGAAAGTAGTCATAGATAGACAGGATAGTGAAGGAAGTATTGGGCCTTTATTGGTCAGTGCATTTTGTATAGGAGTGGGAAGGTCATGTTGCAGCTGGACGGGACATTGGTTAGGCCACTTTTGGAATACTCCATGCAATTTTGGTTTCCCTACTACAGGAAAGATGCTGTGAAACTTGAAAGATTTCAGAAAAGATCTACAAGGATGTTGCCAGGGTTGGAGGGTTTGAGCTATAGGGGAAGGCTGAATAAGCTGGAGCTATTTTCCCTGGAGCATCAGAGGCTGAGGGATGATCTTATAGAGGTTTATAAAATCATGAGGGGCATGGATAGGGTAAATAGACAAGTTCTTTTCCCGGGCTGGGGGAGTCTAAAACTAGAGGGCATAGGTTTAAGGTGAGAGATGAAAAGGTTTAAAAGGGACCTAAGGGGCAACTTTTTCACGCAGAGCGTGGTGCATGTATGGAATGAGCTGCCAGAGGAAGCAGTGGAGGCTGCTACAATTACAACATTTAGAAGGCATCTGGATGGGTATATGAATAGGAAGGGTTTAGAGGGATATAGGCCAAATGCTGGCAAATGAGACTAGATTAATTTAGAATATCTGGTCGGCGTGGGCGACTTGGATCAAAGGGTCTGTTTTCATGTTGTATATGTCTATGACTATGACTCCATTCATGTACCCATCCAGATGTCTCTTAAACATTGCAATTGCACCAGCCTCCACTATATGGTCTGACAGCTTATTCCCTACATGCACCACCGTCTGCCTGAAAAAGTTGCTTCTTACGTTCCTTTTGAATCTTTCCCCTCTCATCTTAATCCTATAGTTTAGGACTCACCTACACTGGGTAAAAGACCTTGGCTATTCCTCATGCCCCTCATGATTTTATAAATATCTATAAACCACCAAACCTCATCCTCTGATGCTCCAGAGAAAACAGCCCGAGTCTCTTCAGCCTCTGCCTGTAGCTCAAACCCTCCATCCCTGGCAACATCCTTGTAGATCATTTCTGAACCCTTTCAAGTTTAACAACATCCTTCCTAAAGTGGGGAGACCAGAACTGAATGCAGTATTCCAAAAGTGGCCTAACCAATGTCCTGTACAGCCACATGACCTCCCAATCATCTACTCAATGTACTGTCCAATAAAGGCAAGTGGACCAAATGCCTTCTTCACTGTCATGTATACCTGTAATTCCACCTTCAAGAAACTATGAACCTGCATCCCAAGACCTATTTGTTTGGCAATACTCGTCAGGACTCTACTTTTAAGTGTATAAATCCTGCCTTGATTTGCCTTACCAAAATGCAACACCTCACACTTATCTAAATTAAACTCCATCTGCCACTCCTTGGCCCTTCAATCCACCTGATCAAGGTCTCATTGTACTCAGAGATAACCTTTTTCATTGTCCACTACACCACTAATTTAGGTGTCATCTGCAAACTTACTCACCATTCCTCCTATACTCACATCAAAATCATTTTTATATATGACAAAAAGCAGTGGACCCAGCACCAATTCTTGCAGCACACTGCTGGTCACAGGCCTCCAATCCGAGAAACAACCCTCTACTACCATCCTCTGTCTTCTACCTTCAAGTCAATTTTGTATCTAAATGGCTAGTTCTCCCAGAATTCCATGTGATCTAACTTTGCTAATCAGTCTACCATGCAGAACCTTGTCAAACACCTTACTGAAGCCTTTATAGACGGAGTCCATCGTTCTGTCTTCAGCAAGCTTCTTTGTCACTTCTTGATCACTTCCGTAATCAGTCCTTGCCTTTCCAAATACATGTCGATCCTGTCCCTCAGAATCCCCTCCAACAACTTACCCATGACTGACATCAGGCTTACTGGCATCAGTCTATATTTACCTGTTTTTTCTTTACAACCTACCTTAAGCAATGGCACCACATTAGCTACCCTCCAATCTTCCGACATCTCACCTGTGGCTATCAATAATACAAATATCTCAGCAAGGGAACCTGCAATCACTTCCTTAGCTTCCCACATAGTTCTGGGATTTACTTGATCAGGTCCCAGGGAGTTATCCAGAACCAGTGGTGGCTTGAGGCCTGTAACTGCTAATTAATCAACTAAGGGTTTTAATTGGTGGCAGGTCATGAAGGCCAACCATGGACATTCTCATCCAGAACTTAACTGCCAAAGTGGCAGGAAAGCGGTGAGCATCTCTCTTACACCATACTGCCCAATTATTTGCACTTACCTGCCCTTTCCAGGGAGTGCCATTGAGGTAGAAAACAGGAGTCATTTCTGTGTTGCAAACCTGCCTCCAGTGGGAAACTGGCCAAAGTTCATATTTTCACACCATTTTTTCTAAATCAACATGGAAATGGGTTTTCTGTCCAGTTAAACCCATGGGGGCAGGAGTGAAGGCAGCTCAGACAAAATGGCGACTCATTCAGACAATTGTACCAGCCATCGCCATGGTTGCTGGTGGTACCTAGGGAGATAGTTTCCACAGCCTTCCAGACTGTGATTTCATAGGGAATCAGGGATTTGATAACAGTGAGGAAGAGGATGTGGCAGAACAAGACACCTCATGATTATACCTGGGCAGCTCCCTGTTCTGTGTCACCTCTCTCTGCCTCTAATGCCCCCTCATCTTTCATTTCCTGTCCATGCTCATTTCCACTGGTGAGGTGTCAAATCCAGAGTTTCCCCATCCTCAAGATCCATTGCTCTCTGGAGGGCAGTGTTAAAGAGAGTACAGCTGATCAGCACAACTGAAGCATTTGCAGGAGGGTGTCACAGGGTATCTCCCCTAGCCCTCTGAATCTGCAGTGCCCCTTTATTACGAATCTGATACATTGTTCAGTTTGAGTGAAGGCAGCATGGATGAAATGCCAGTATAAGATGCTGCAGAGAGCTATAGCTGAGCCTTAAAGGAGTACACAGTGAAGAAATTCAAGGCCAGTTTCCTTTGCTAAGGTGAGATGCAAGGTACACACTGGCTCTGACCGTCAAGCTTTGTTGGTAGCATCCTTTATCACTGGTTTTCTGCTATGTCTAGGTGTGTGCCTATATACTTGTAACACATTTGCTCAGGGTATTGTTTCCTTCTCCTCATGCCCTGTTTCGTCCCATGAGCTTCTTGTGCCCAGTGTCCTGCCTTCCCAAACTGCAGGCTGGAGCTCCTTCGTTTCTGAGAGCTCCTGAGCAATGGCAGTCTGGGGAAAGTGCAGAACGTTTCTATAGGCAGAATTTTAACAAGCCCATTTACAAGTGCAGGTAGGTTGGGAAGTTGGCACATCCTATACCCCATTTCTACAATATTGGTGATGCCAGAAGAGGTAAGATGTCCAGTCACACCCATATCGTGACCATTTTTTCAGGCCATTCTCTCTGTTCTACCCAGATTGAGCCATGAGAATCCATGCACACCACCACCCACCCCCCAACTACCCAGCTCTCTGCTGCTGTTGCTAATCACAAATCAATACAGGAATGGCAGCAGGCCATTTAGCCCTTGGACTTTTTAGAGCCATTCAATGAGGTCATGAATCTTTGGACTGGGAGGAAACCGGAGTACCCGGAGGAAACCCATGCAGACACGGGGAGAATGTGTAAACTCCACACAGACAATCACCCGAGGGTGGAATTGAACCCAGGTCCCTGGCGCTGTGAGGCAGCAGTGCTAACCACTGAGCCACCTTGCCACCCCTTAGACAAATATTGATCAATCTGAAGTTTAACATTGACAGTTGCCTGAATATCAATTCAACAACTGCAAACACATCTAGAAGGACAAGGGCTGCAGATATATGGAAACCTGCAGATTCCCCTTCAAGCTACACATTATCCTGACTTAGAAATCCACCTTTTCAAGGACACATAGGGATGGGCAATAAGTGTTGTTCTGGCCAGCAGTGCTAGCATCCCATAAACAAAATGTTTAAAAAAATCCCATTTTATGCAAGACAGTATCAAGCAAATCTCATCCTTCACTCCTAAAAGATTTGGTTCTAATTTTTGGACATTTCTCCCCAGTTTTAGAGTTCCCAACCAGCAGAAATCATTTATTTCTAGCTGCCCTAACAGTTTCACTGAGAAGTTTCATCTGGATTTCCACATGGTCACATCAATGTCACAGTTAAAACACTGGACAATGCTAATTTACTTTTTTAATTTCATTAAAAAAATTCAGTCACTGGAAATGGGCATTGTTGACTGGACCAGCATTTATTGCCCATCCCAAGTTGCTCTTGAGAAGGTAGTCATGAGCCACCTTCTTGAATGACTGCAATCCAATTTAGAGGCAACAGATTTCAGATTTGGGAGGTCTCCAGCTTTAATTTTCCACAATTACTGTTTTCAAAATGCTGCTGTTGACAACACCCAGCCAATCAAAATCATTCCCTAGGAAGTTCACATGTCAAAATGTAACACTTACATTATTATGGATACTGTGAGTAATAAAAATAATGAAACAAGCATGACACTGTGGAAGCTCACTTCTCTTTTGTAACATTTTTAGCTCAGACACTTTGTGCCTGAGGAATGCAATTATTGTAAATATATTTTGTTGTGATGACCCCTCATGTTTCTTGGATTCTTTAATATCACAATATCCAAGCCCAGTTTCTTATAACAGGGAAGATAACATAAGCATTGCCACATCAAGTAAAACACCCTGTTAGAGGCAAACCCATGGTGTGATATATATGATAAAACAAAGAATTACAGATGCCAGAAGTCTGATACAGAAACAAATTGCTGGAGACACAATATGTCAAACAGAAGGAAGCCCATTGGATTTGAAACACTAACTCTGTTTCCTCTCCACAAATGCTGTTAAATCTGCTGAGTTTCTCCAGCAATTTATGTTTTTGTATGATATAAAATCCTTGTTTTAAAATGTTGTAATTGTTGTGATGTAGGATTGTAGTAGTTAATTACTGCACAACGAGCTCTCACAAACAATGATCAGATGATCTGCTTGTATGTGTTAATTCAAGGGAAAAAGTACACATATGAAAACAGAAATAAATATTCAAATTAGCAAATTGAACTCTCAAATTTAACTACTCTTTGGATAAACAGTACCTCTGACAGTGTAGCACTCTCTGGCTAATGCTCTGGGAGCACCACTTGGAGCTAACACTGACCCCTCATGTTTATCCAAGAGTGGAAACAGTGCCTCCACCCTCACCTCCTTCAAATGTTTCCGCTGCCACCCAGCTGCTCCATGGCGAGGTGCCAATCTCTGTGCTGCAGGCCAACCGGATCCAATATCGCGAGTATGGTGCCAATGCTCTGATCATGTGATTGAATGGTGGAACAGAGATATCCTTCAAATAGATCTCTTGACTGAGGTCACCCTCAGATTGCTTGGCCTGAAAGAAATTAGGAAAAGCAAACATGTGATTTTCTAAAGTAAAATATTGCTCCCCGCAATCTGGCCTCAGACCTTCACGTGCATAGCAAACATTATTGTTCTCTAAAAAACAGAAGTGGTCACCAAAGAGAGGAAATTTCACAAAAAAAATATGCTTATGGATCCTTTCCACATCCTTGCACTCATGTAAACAAAAGGTCCGAAACTTAAGAATGCATGTTGGCAAAACTCACTTCTCGATTCCTCAGAAAAAAAACATAAGACATCTCAAATTATTTTCGCATTCAGTGATGCAGGGTTCTGTCTAAGAGACTGCTCAGTTCAATACTGCATGAATTATCTTCTCCTAAACTGTCATCAAGATGTAAAGGTGCCGGTGTTGAACTGGGGTGGACAAAGTCAGAAGTCACACGACACCAGGTTATAGTCCAACAGGTTTATTTGAAATCACAAACTTTTGGATTGCTGCTCCTTCGCCAGGTGAAACATTACCTGACGAAGGACCAATGCTTCAAAAGCTTGTGATTTCAAACAAACTTGTTGGTCTATAACCTGGTGTCTTGTTACTTCTGACTTTATACTGTCTTCAATTCTGCTTAGTCTGTTGTACTAAGGCCATGTGCCTGCACCAAGGCATCTCAATCTTTAAGGTTAGCCCCCATAACTCAGGAAAGTCAAAAGGTACAAAAACTCAGCAGGTCTGGCAGTATCTATGTAGAGAGAAACAAAGTTAATGCTTCAAGTTTGCTCTCTCCACAGGTGCTGCCAGACCTGCTAAGTTTCTCCAGCACACCCTCTTTCATTTTAGATTTTCAATTTCCACAGTATTTTGTTTCATATTTGAAGTTTCCCATCTGGGCCCAGTTAGGAGACTGCATCACTGCCCAAATAATTAGGTTGTCTTTTTTTATCATTCAGAAGCGCTCTTACACACAATCGAATGTCTCTTTTTCCATCACCAAATCACAGTATTTTTTTCATCTGTTAACCACTACCTGTGATTCTAATTTAATGGATTTTGCACACAACTTATTAAGTGCATTGCAACTCAGCAAAGGTGAGGGAAAGGTAGGGAGCAGGGGAGGGAGCTAAATCAAAATGGAGTTGGAAAGAGATAATTACACTGTTTCATTCTCCTAAATGATTTCTTATACCTGTCCATATTATCCATGTTTGGCTGACAGCCCAGACTCAAAATCTCAGAAGGGGGTTGTTTTGACAATTGGAGAAAGCTGTTGATTTCGCTTAAATTGCATCCCTATGTGCTTAGAATAAGTTGTTCTTTCTGCAATCTCTTTTGTTAATGAGTCAAAGTTTATTTATAAAGATTTAAAGATGTAAATTGTTTGAAACCTACGTTATTCATACGTTAATTGTCTGCCTCATTAACACTTTATCTAGTTGTAAAAAGAGCAATTTTCATGTACAGATAGATTAAAGGGACTTTTCTAAAATTCATTCATGGAATGTGGGCATCACTACCTAGCCCAGCATTCATTGCCCATCCCTAATTACCCAGAGAGCAGTTAAGAGTCAACCACATTGCTGTGGGTCTGGAGCCACATGTAGGCCAGATCAGGTAAGGATGGCAGAGTTCCTTCCCTAAAGAATATTAGTGAACCAGATGGATTTTTCCTGACAATCAACAATGGTTTCATGATCATCATTTGACTCTTATTTCTAGATTATTATTGAATTCAAATTCCACCATCTGCCATGGTGGGATTCAAACCCAGGTTCCCAGACTATTACCTAGGTCTCTAAATTAGTAGTTTAGCGATAATACCGCTCGGCCACCACCTACCCTTGATGTGGAATTATAAGAAGTCTTGTGGGGGTAGCTGATGGCAGCTTGGCAAGCGGTTTAAAGGACTCAGAACGTAGAACGTTGTACAGGAACAGACACTTGAGCTCATCATGGGGTATTCACCCCAACTCCCAGAATGGTTCAGAAGTTACCTTTCAAAAGGTACCTGAACAATATCGCTTCATTGGAGGCCTCACTGATGATGTTACCTAGCATGGTGACGAAGCGGCTGAACGAAAACAAGCCAGCCCGGCAAGCAAGTCAACAGCCATACCTGAATACAATCTTAGTTTCAAAACTGAGTGAAACATGAGTCATGAAGAAACTGATGTGACCCCACCTAATGAGGTGTGGGTCCAGGAGATACCAAACCCGCAAACCAGGTCAGGAGTGCAAGATGCACACCTGGGGAACTAGTGTGGGGGTAAGGATCCCAGAACTCAGACCCACCCACCCACCATATTTACATGGCTCTGGAATTGTTTCAGCTTTATAAAAGTCCAGGCCACACAGAGTGCTGGGGATGCACACTGGCACTTTCTCAAATTTAGTTATACAAGCACTGGTCTCATGCTGGCACCTTACTCAAATGGATGCACATTATCAGATTATTGCTCTGGCTTCACACTCTAACTGAATCAAAATCATATCCAATCCACCAAGGTCCACTGCTTACAACAAAATAAATTAAAAACTCAGAGAGCCAAGCTGAAGTAGACTACTTTTTATAAAGGCTACCCACTGCCACTCAGAAATTTCCTTACCAAAACCCTTCCCACCTGTAACTCAGTCCCTGAGGAGCTACAACTTCAGGTCATTCACAGAATACAATCAGGCAGTTCCTATGGAATGATGATTCAGTAACGAAAACAAACTGCTGGAGGAACTCAGCAGGTCTGGCAGCATCTGTGGAGAGAAAGCATAGTTAACATTGAGAAGGGTCACTGCTGACAGATCTGCTGAGTTTCTCCAGCAATTTCTGTTTCCGTTTCAGATTTCTAGCATCTGCGGTTTTTTATTGTTTCATTTTAATGATTGAGTAATGCTGTGCAATTTAGTGAGTGCACATAGTTTCAGAATGAGCTTCTCCTATCAATTGGAGAAGTGAAAGGCATGAGTTCCCAAATCCAGTCCATTCATTGACCTCAAATACTCCATTGATGAAATGCTGTCTACTGATGATCTGACTCTGCATTTCACGTCACTTTTACAAATGGAAAACTTAAATCCCTTAGAGAAATATAAAATTCACAATCAAGACTACAAATTAATTTATCCCTATAAGATTGGCCCAGAAGACAATGCCTCTTTCATCTTCCACGCTCTGCAGAGGCAGTTGAACAGACTATTCGACTGTGGACACACCACATCTGAACTAGATCCTGCCGTCTCTCCAGATCTTCAAAAACATGCACTTTACAGTAAAGCTCACTGTGTAGAGACCAGGAACTTACAAATGTTCTTCTCTTTATATCCCAGTGCACTTTGACATGCTGCTTGTATTACAGGAGGATTTCTAAACTGGTACAGCTTCCATCCTTGTGATGGTGCATGATACCAAAGCCAAATAATCCTACTAAATGGAAGCAAATTCTTCCAAGAAACTATTGGAAGGTTGAGGCCTTGGTTAATGTCACTGGACTAGCATTCCAGTGAATGGAGCAGTTTAGCTTATGAAGAGGTCTGTATAAGTTCAGGCTGTTTTCTTTAGAGCAGAGAAGGCTGAGGGGGGTCCTGATTATTGAGGTATATAAGATTATGAGGGGCATGGACATGATGGATAGGAAGCAGCTGCACCCCTTAGTTGAAGGGTCAATTAACAGAGGGCATAATTCTAAGATGAAAGACTAGAGTTCTGAGCAAAATCTTTTCACCCAGAGTGTAGTGTGGTCTGGAATACATAGCCTGGGAAGGTGCCTGAGGCCAGAAAACCTCAGAACATTTAAAAAGTACTTGGATGAGCACTTGAAATGTCGTAATATTGAAGGTCCATGAGCTGGAAAGTGGGACTAGATTAGATTTGGAGTTTTTCTGAAGAAGGGTCCAGACCCGAAACGTCAGCTTTCAGGCTCCTCCGATGCCGCTTGGCCTGCTGTGTTCATCCAGTTCTACACCTTGTTATCTTAGATTTAGGGTAGTTCTTTTGTCTGTGCACACCTGAAGTGCTAAAGGGCTTCTTCTGTACTGTGAACCCCAGGCCAATGCTTGAGGGACATGGGTTCAAATTCCACCATGGAAAATGGTGAAATTTCCATTCAAAAATTCTGGAATAAGAATTAACTACTGTAAAAAAAAAACATCCGGTTCAGTAATCCTTTCGGGGAAGAAACATCCTTACCTGGTCTGGCCTACATACAACTCCAGACCCATAGCAGAGTGCTTTATGCGTAAGTGCCCTCTGAATGGGTTGTAAATATTGGCCCAGCCAGTGACTCCCACATCCCATAAAAGAATAATGGAGAGCATGGGAGCTGGCAATGTTCATTTCTCAGCCAATATCTTGACAAGCTGATTATCTGGTCATTATCACATTGCTGTTGATTTGAGCTTACTGTGTACATACTGTCTACCACATCTCCTTCAATACACTAGTGACCACATTTCACAAGGATCTTATTAACTGTGAATTTCTTTAAGATGCCCTGCAGTGATGGAAAATTCTAAGGAAATGAGTAAAATAAGCAGTCAGACTAAAGAATCAGATGTGGAACCTTTCTGATTTGTGTAGCTCAGTAACACATTGGATAGAAACTCCCTCTCTCAGATGACAGCACATCCTATGTTTGCTGCAAATTTGATATAAAGATTAAGGAGGCAGGAGGAGCAGAGCCAGCAGTCTCTGTACTGAATACAGTTCTGTTTATGGAAAGAATTGTGGCTTTTGTCTTCAGAAGAGATTTGATGAAAATGTTTAAAATCACAATGGACTTTGATTGAGAAAATAAAGAGAATTGTTTCAAATATCTGAAAACTTGCTAACTGGAATCTGGCTTAATCAAACAGTAGCAACTCAAATCACTTAGCCCTATTACATGAAAATTGTCCTGCAGTTTGCTCTCAATGCCTGAGATCTCTGCCCCAAATCAAAAGGTGACCAGGGAGGAATCATTGTGGCTGATCGTATTATGGTCAAGCACCCAGTTAACATCTCTCCTCTCAAAGGAGGAGACAGGAATTTTCTCCAGATATAG